GGATCGCCAGGGGGCAAACATTGCGAGTCGGTAGAAGGAAATGTCTGGCGAAAAGTTGTTTCCACGTCCAAAAAAAAAAGGATTTTGGAGAGAGATTAACACTTTTTCGCCGTTATTGTATCGCAAATGGACTTGGGCAATATTGACGTGCGGAAAATGTAAGTTTTCGTTTTAATAACCGTGAAATACGTGACAAATATACCGATAAACTTCTTTGCTTGCGTAAGGTTTATTGCGAAATTTATATCATGTAATGGTCTAAAATATCACAAAATTAGGCATAAATCCAGAGGAAACAACCCAATAAAGCCTTTTCAGTTTCATTTTACGTGTGTACAGCCTGTTTTCTTATTAGGTACGTCTTTTATAACCAAATTATGGCTTCTGGAAATGTACCTCCTCAAAGGAGAGAAGTCGTCGTCAGAGGAGACGGAAACTGTTTTTACCGAGCTATTGCTCTTTGGAGGGATGAAATGACCGATGAGAAACACGAAGAAATCCGTAGGTTAAGTTCTACCTTGATTGAGAAAAATCCGAAGGTTTTTCAGCCGCTACTGTTCTCTTCGAATTCAGTGAAGGAACATGTTAAGAAAAGCATGATCACGGGAACTTGGGCAGAAACTGTTGATATATTTAGTTGTGCATCGCTGCTTAAGCGACCGATTTGCACCTTCTCGACGTCACAGAAAAAGTGGTTTACTTTTAAACCGATTATGTTCACTGATTCATGTCCATCAATCACAACAAAAAAGCAATGCAGGTGTCCAATCACTTTGATGTATTATTGATTTTATGCTCAAGAAAACCATTTCAATCTCCTGCTGCCTCAAGGTAGCTGTTGTAGTGCTCCTCTACCCGAAAATACAGCATCCTCTGTTTCAATAGATTTAAGTACCACTGGTAAATCATATGCCTCAGCTGTGAAACAAACTTCACAAGCTTCTTCTTCTGTCAAACTTACATCTACAAGTACTAAAGCTGCTGGATCCAAGCAACCTTGTCAAGCTTCAACCTCTTACAATACAACAGCATCATCTTCATGTACTAAACCAAGAGTCAAAAAGCCATCTAAGTCTCCAAAAGCTACCGCTCCCACGGAATCATCTTCTATTAAGCAACCAACTCCAGTTTCTAAACCTACTACTGCCAAAGCACCATCTTCTGTCAAACAACAAACTCCAGTTACTAAACCTACCACTGACAAGCAAACATATCCTTTGAAACAACCAACTCCAGCTGGTAATTCTCCTACTAATGACAAGCATCGACCACCTACATCTACTTTTCAACAGCCAGTCCCAGGTAACAAAATGACTGCTGCCAAGCATCCATCTTCTGTTAAACAACAAGCCCCGGCTACTACTCCTACTACCGCCAAGCAACCATATTCATCTTCTACAATGACCAGTTCTCAAATATCTACAGATAAACCTACAGTTGGCAAGGAACCATCTTCAAACCAAGCCATTACTTCTACCTCTACTAATGAGAATAAGAATAATGCCAATGACAATGACAATGACAATAATAATAATAATCTGGACTTTGACAAAATGGATGTGAAAGAAATTAAAGGATTTATCTCTGCAAGGGGTGTCCAAGCCTCCACTTACCGCAAACCTGAACTTATTCAGCTGGCTAAAGCAGTGGCTAGTATGAACCTTCCAACCGACCCTGACTTTGAAAATGATTCCATTGAAAAATGTTTGCTAAGACGCCTTACTTTACCAGCTGGTCAAAAACTCTCAGATCCTTTTCAAATGACATCATTGTCCAATGACTTCTCACAACTGCCTCCATTTGGACTGATGGACATTTTTAATCATCTAATTATGAGTAAAGCTGATTATGATAAAAGAATGCTGTCTTCCTGGCGTTCATTTGAAGAATATAATCTTTGTTCGAATGGGCATATTCAGAACCTTGGAGTTAAAACTGTACAAGACCTTGATGGCAGTAATTTTTT